ATGAAATGAATCCTGGGTTTTGGTCTTTCTAGTCTATTTCTCTTTCTGCTTTTTTCCTTAGTCTCTGGGTGGTGGATTGAGAATACAGTGTCCTTCGCTAGGAAATGCTTGACTTGGGAAGTGCAAAATAGATTTATGAAGAAGTAAATCATTTTTGGAAATGGAATCATGAATATAATATGAAATGAAAATGGCTGCAGAAACTTAAGTTCTTTTGAAAAGTGCTTGGTGAAAGATAGCAATTTATTTATTTTTAATTTTTAATTAATTAAGTTTATCAGTACATTTGAACTTTTTTTTTCTTTTTTTCCTCATTGGGTTTATTGGTACATTTTAGGGATACAGTACAGTTACATTCATTGCTGGGATCCTGTACCTTTACAAGACAGATCTTGGTTCTCATTTTTTCCCCTTGTCCCTGCCCTCCCTTCACCCCCCCTCCTCTATTTACAAAAACTCTGTTTCTATTTTTTCATTTTCTCATATTTGTTTCTTTTCCCTTGTTTCCTTTCCCCTACCCTTCCCACTTTCCCTACACCTTTAGCCGTTTTCTTCCTATTTCACTAGATTTAAGCCCCAAAGTTGGCTGCTATTTTTGTTGTTCTTACAGGACTTTCTTATTTGTCTGGAAGTATTTGTGGTCGCGATTGCCCAAAATTACCTTTTCCCTTATAAACCTTACGTGCGGAGTCAGGAAGAAGGCTCATGTTTCAAATCTTTCTTGGCCATGAGGAACTTCTCAGATGCTACAGACGATGTCGCTGAACAGATTAGTCATATGGGTACAAGTACCAGCCATTCAACTCTTTCAAGTAAGTAGGGAATTTGGTTCTCCCACTGAAGCCATGTATTCATCATTTAAGAAACCAAAAGAAGGAGGCAGCTGAGCAGCAAAAGAGCACCAAGGGCCTCATGGCCTCATGGAGCCAGAAGTCTTAAAAATACATCCTTATAATGCCAGCCAGCAGGTTGAGGTTCCTCCTGGTGTCATACAAAAAGAAAAATCCAAGCATAGCTAAAAAGATGGCTAACTGCAAATACAGTGCTTGTTGTGTGGTTCCAATTAAAAGGAAGGAACAGGAGGCTGTGTCTGCAGAAGTGCTATAGATGACGAACCACTTAATCTTTCCAAGTTTATTTCTTCAAGTTTTGAATTAAATGAAAAACTTTCTAGTGCTGCCATTCAGATTCCTGAAGCAGTTATCTGGAATGTAGTGACTCAAGAGCCCCAAAGAAAGAGGCTATGGCTGATAAGCATCCTAACAACAATAAACGGTAGAAAAAAGGCAGAAAAATGGATGGAGAAGTGTGCATTAAAGAGCCAGCAGACTGAAGATTTATTTTCCAGTCTTTTTTAAACTTTAGGGAGTTCTTAACTGTGTGGCAGGAACCATAGTTCAGTTGCAGAGTGCTGGCCTAGCATGCAGGAGGGCCTGGTTTCAGTCCCCAGCACAGTGAAAGAGAAATCTTAACTGTCAAGTTTTAGGTAACAGTGGTGTCTGAACTTTTTATTTGTTTAAATAAAGATTATTTTTCTTATAAAAAAAAAAAAGAAACCAAAAGAAGGGCAGGGGATTTAGCTCAGTGGTTCTGCCACCTGTTCGCAAGTCCAAGGTCAGGAGTTTGATTCCCAGTACAAAAAAAAAAAAAAAAAGAAAGAAAAAAAGAAAGAAAGAAACCTGTTTAGAGCAGTACCATGGTACAGGCTTTTCAAAAGGAGGGGAGAGGAGAGGAGGGAACTTGTATTATGTTAAAAATACCTTGGCTAATGTGGAACCCTTTGTATTACTTTAAAGGATGCACCATCTGTGGACAACACAAACGAAAAAATCACACTGAGGGTCAGGATGAAAAAATTCCCACTGGCGGTCAGGATGAGAAATAAAACTCACCTTCCTTACCACCAACCTCTGAAGATGGCTTTTCTTGTGTCTCTTCTCTGCCACGTGCTGTGACACATCACACTGCACACACTGTGATCAACATGCCTGAGGAAATGGTTGGTGAAACTGCAGGAGCAAAAAAGTGTGAATATATTGCCCTTACTATACCAGATGAAGTGGTTAGTGACAGCCCAGATGACACTTCGGAGACGGGAGAAGAGGAAGCGGTGAAGGAGGTAGATGAGTGAGGGGTGCCGGCCTCAGGCCCGGGGAGTGCACATCCTGGGCCCAAGTGGACACCCCGGACCTGAGTGCCTCTGCAGGGCCCCGTGAGGACCCTTTTCACACAGGTACGTTTTCCTGACTTTATGGTGCTTTTTACATCTGAACTCAGGATTTAACAACTATTTCTGTGTTGTTTTATAGAGCAGGTAGTTCTTTCATCTACCAGCTTTTCCTGGTTTTGATAGGGGAAAGTGTGGAGTCAAAAGAAATCTTCTTCCATTCTGCTATGCTAGGTTTCCTTGGGAATGTCACACTAACTGGATATTATGGGGTGGTAATACCTCCCTCAGATTTGTGAAAATTATGTGGCAAAATGCTTGGAAGATTTCACACATACTAAGTTCTTGCCTTCCACTATCATAAACCCATAACATTTCTTTTAAATTTTCCTGTGTATGGTGGGAGGTATAAAAATGTCCCACTATTTTTGTTTTTCTTTTTCTTTGTTTTGTGGTTCTTTTCAACTGTTTTAGGACCTGGGAAGGACTCTTTAAACAATTTCTCTTCTTGGCTACATGAACTACTATAGAAACATTCCTTTTCCTTGTGTGGTATTGGATCCTAAGACTACATTACACATCTGGATGAGTGAATTCAAGAGAAGGGTACCGACACTTAGATCTGCTGTCTGACAGGAGGAACTAAGAGTAAATTTGTACTACTTCCTCAAAGATTTGTATTACAGGAGTTTTGAATTCAGGCTTGGGGTTGCAGGTAGCTACATGAAGTATAAAAGGGAAAAGGTCTTCAGTGGTAATAGTCATAATATGTAGTACTTGGTGAATGATGATAATACTATCAAAATAAATCAAAATGTTGATTAATTGGCAATATCCTTTTGGGAAGAAGACATAGAAATAATGATACTATAAAGAATATAGCACCCAGATTTGGAAGCTTATTCATACACTATTAAATAATTTTGTACTTCTTTCTTTTCATTTATCTGTTAGAGATACATTTAGATTTCTTTTCTTCCTTTAGAGATACTTGAAATATTTTAAATCACCAAATTGCTTTTGGTTTAGAGGCTCAATTATTTATCGAATCTTCACTTTAGTTTCCTTACCTGTAGAATGAGAACAATATCACCAAGTGTGTTGATACCTCTACACATCTGAAAAGAATGGAAAATGTGTATTGCAAACTATCCTGCAGTGTTTTTACTTTGTGCTTAAAAACTCTTATGTAAGAATTTCAAGGTCTAGTGAAACTAGAAAGAAGACATTTGAAGAGTTACTCTATTGAATTCTGTACTGATATACTCTGTCCGTTACTTACATGACTAATGAAGTTACTTTAGTGGTAGGAAATTGTGATGATATTGAAAACATAGCAGGAGAAATGGAAGGAACTACTCCAGAGGAAGTCACTGAATACTCAGGTAATCCTTTTATCGCTTTAATACATAAGTTGTGAGGCTTTCAGATCTGTTGGAAGCTTCCTATTTTCTTATGCTGAATTATGTTTTAATCCACTAATTTTTCCACAACATGATGACTTTTTGTGTGCTTTAAAAAAGTATTTAGAGCAGATCTTTTTTCCACAAGGTGACATAATAGCTCTGTTCTGTGTTGGTTTTGTTTTTAAAGGCAAAGTGGGCTATTTTTAAACTTGAGAACTTCTTACCTGTAATCCCAGCAGTTCCAGAGGCTGAGGCACAAAGATTTTTAAGACCTGACTTGACTTTTTAAAATGCTAACTATAGCTGAAAAAGCCAGAACAGGTCATGTGTGTTAGTTACGTTTTTCTCATTGCTGAGACAAAATACCCGACACCCTAAATTAGAGGGGAAGGGGTTTATTTGGCTTACAGTTTGTAGAGGTTTCAGTCTGTAATCAGCTGGCTCCAAGACAGAAATAGCAAACAGGCATTGCAGAGGAGACACAACATGGTGCACACATGAGCAAAGGCAACAAGGGTGAGATTTAGAAGCATCTTTTTGCCACTTTCATCTTATTCAAACACCAGGATTAAGGCAGTGCCAAACTAATCTCTCATATGTAGTTATCTAGTAACCACACGCCCTTAACCCCAGCATCACACATTCCAGATTCAACTACCTCTGAAAGAAAAAGTCCCACCTCATGCATATGAGACTTTGGGGGGACATTTAAACACAACCATAGCATTCCACCCCCAAAGACTCATGCTTATGCCTTTATGCAAAAAAAAGCATTTAGTCCATCTCTAAGAGTTGCCAAAGTCCTAATAGTTTGACCATTGCTGAAAAGTCCAAATCCAAAGTCTCCTCTGAGAGTTAAAGCAAACTCTTAGTTTTAAGCCCCTATGCAAGTGAAAAGAAAGTTGAACACTTCCAACATTCGGTGGCTCATTTGCATTCCAAAAGGTACAAACAGGAATACAAAAGAATGGGACCAAAGCAAGTTCAAAATCCAGCAGGACAGGCATTAAATCACATAGTTCCACTTCCAGCGTCAGAGGCAATCTGCAGCAGGTTGTCAACTTGAAAAGGCTTGGGTGGCTCTTGTAGCTTTCCCCAGATGATCCACACTCCTGGCTTCTTCAGACTTCTGGGGTCCCTCATAGCTCCACACACTGCCCTCTCAGGGTAACAATGCTTGATTCCACCACTCTTGCACTTTGCATGTCCCTGAAACCAGAACCACACGGATGATACCAAGGTCTGCTGCCAGCTGGAGGAGTTGCAAGGCTTCCTTCTCTCTTGGCTGTAGTGTGCCTGGATTGATCCTGAGGTACAACTTCCCTAGGCCACTGCCATTCTGGAACTTGATCCTCTGGGGCTTTCTTCTCAAAGAAAATATTTCACTTTTACAAGTCTGAGACTGCAAAAGCTGGAATCCTGCTGCTTCCTGTGAGGCTGTCAGGCCATCTTTTCTATTCTATTCCATTTCAGTAATCAAGACCTCCTCTGCTCTACCTTTGCAGTCCACAGCTTTACTGAAGCTTCCTTTCTGGCCCCGCTCTAAATGTTTTATATGGAAATGTCTCTTAATCCTTAGCAAATAAATTACAGTAGACATAAAAAGTAATTCATATTTATACCTTTCCTCCCTTCATTCCATGTGTCCAGCTTTTACTATTCTATAGCTGTGTTCTGGGAAAGATACAGTGAACTTCAGGGCTCAGATTGGAAGGGGAGAGGCAAGAATCCAAAGTATCAAAAAACACTTGAGCTCCTGGACTGCGCGACAACAGACCCAGCAAGGACCCAAAGACCCCAGAGGGAGTCTTTTCAGCTGCATGCCTGTAAAAAACATTTTTCATATTGATCATGCTTTATTAGCAATTATTGGAAAATGTGCAAAAGTTTCATCCAGTTAGTATTTTGGCATTTTGTTAATTTCTTGGTTTCATAATCTGAAGCACATGCATATTAAGTAGAAATTTTAGTTAGACTTTAAATGTCTGTAATACATTTTGTACCCTATTCTTCTTGAGCAATATATCTGTATCTATTCAGCTATTCTTTCTGTGAATTTCTGTGGCACTAGCCAACAATTTCTACACGTCACAGCCAATAGAGGATTGCTCTTTTCTTTTAAAAGTAGAATGAATTCATTCCAATAAGTGGAATATAACCATTTTAATGAGCCATTGGCACTTTAATTACTATTCATTCAAGTATTGAAGTTCTTTTTCCCTGGTTTTATGGTGTAAGTTTGCCTGAATCTCAGAGGAGACTTTGGATTTGTATTTTGCAGCAATGGTGGAACTGATAATACTTTGACAACTCTTAGTAAAAGACTGAGTGCATTTTACATAAAGAAAAGAATATGAGTCTTTAGTGGTTCAAGGATAGAGTGTAATGGTTTAGATCTAAAATATTCCCTACAAGCTTTGTGTGTCTAATATGATTGGATCCTGGAGGTACTGTACTTATCAGTGGGTTTGTCTACTGATAAGTTCAGAAATTGATTGTGCTGTCAGGAGGTGGAGCCCAGTTGGAGATGGGTCACTTTGGATGTGATAAGGAAAGGTATATCTTTGTCCCCAACTCCCTTTCTCTCTGCTTCCTGGCTGCCATGGGTTGAGCCCTGTTTTTTCTCTGCTGTGTCCCTGTGCCATTCTCTTCCTTTCTTGGGCCAAAATAAAGCTCTCCCCCTTAAGCTGTGGGCATCAGGTATTTTGGCCCAGCAATATGAAAGTGATTAAAAATTCAAGGAAGGAAAGAATGTCAAAGCTGTCTGAATGATCGTGATGTCAAGTGCTACAAAGAGGTCAAATAAGATAACTGAAGGCTTCCCTTTTGGTTTTGCAAAAATAATATTGATGTGGCTGGTGACCTTGGCAAAAATGCTTCCAGTCACATGGCCATGGTTGAATCCAGATGCAACCATTTGGAGAATGGACAGGAAACAAAGAACTGAGATAATGAATGTTGACAGCTCTTTTATGAAAAATGTTAGTGAAAAAAGGATAAAGATAAGGAAGTAGCTGGGAAAAGATGGGAGATTAGGGGAGAGTTTCAATTTCCTATTTAATGTAGGAGAGACTTGAGTGTATTCAAATTTTGGTGATGTGAAATAACCAGAGGAGAGCAAACTGCTGAAAGAACTGAAGAGGGATGAGTTGGGTCAAAAGGAGGAGGCCTCTCAGATAGTAGAAGATGAAAGGTCCCATAATTCTTGATAAGGGGCTCTCTTTAATTATATAAAGGAGGGAAGAGTGAGCTCAGTGGCAATCAGGAGTGCTTCCAATTGCAAATAGCAAAAAGCTTAGCTAATAGTGCCTCACTCAAGCAGAGGTTTATTTTTCTCATAGAACAAGAAATTTTAAGTAGCCAATTGTAGACATTGCTTCTGCATATCAATTATGTCAGCACTGGGGTTGACGTCACTGCACTTGTCCTCCTCACTGCACAGTGTTTTCTTCTGAGGTTGTAAAGGAAGCAAGAAAGAGGAAGGGATGATGTTGGCTACCCTTGGTACTTTAATCAGGAAAGCATTTCTAGAGGCCTCCAGAATTCTGTTTCCAGGACTAGGTCATGTGGCCACCTCTAAGTACAAGGGAGTCTGGGAAAGCATTTCATCCTCATGGTGGAAGAAACGATCTTCTCTACATACCTGAAATAAGTCATGGCTGTTTTACTATTTCTCATTATAGAAAATATACTTTACAATATGTTCTAAATTGGCATTTAAAGGGAATATAGATTGTTTTTAAAGCTTATACTGTCAGTTACTATTTAGCCCATAGTTTTTTTTTTCATCTGATATTTATCTTTGGCTTCAGTGGAGACTGTTCTATCAATATTTGAGTTTCTCTTTAAGGAAAATTTGTCAATGTGCTTCAGAATACTATATTGAACAAAATCATTCTATTATAAGTATTGGTTATTTTATTAAAGAGTAAGGACTTAGAATTACTCTTTCATGTCAGGAAAAAGAAAAGTATATGAAGGGACTCATTTAGTTCTCTTTAAGGGACCTGTAACCCTTCTGAGCAGTAAATTCTCTCAGTTAATATCTTTGCTATTATTAGCACCTGGTTTCTTCATCCATTAAACAAAAAATGTATTGATCATCTTCATGAGCTAGGCACTACTCTTAGTGCTGGAGAGTCAGTAGTAACAAAAACAATAACACTCCCTGAGAGAGCTTCATTTTAGGTGGGAGAGACAGACAAACACATGAACACATAAATAAATCACAGATGGTAGTGAGTTTATGACTGAAAGAGGTGAGCTAGTAGGCTAGAGCAATGGGGGAGGCTGCTCTAGTTGTAATGAGGAGGGGTATCTCTGGGGAGGTCCCAGCTGAGCTGAAATTATGAGAGAATAGAGCTTTCCAGGGTGAAGGGGCACATAGGAATGAGAGGCTGGGTGTGGTGTGTCTCGAGAGCAGAAGGAAGCCAGTGAATGAGGGGTGACAAGGAGGAGACAAGGCCACTAGGAGTCTGTAGTCTGCTCTAAGGGCAGTGGGAAACCACCACATCCACTCCAAAAGCTATGTGGGATGAGATTCAGGTTAGTGACAGGCAGTGACTCTAGGAAGATAAAGGGCTTCTCAGCAGTCCAGGAATGACAGAAGAATGATTCAGACTCAGATTCAGTGTAACTATGCTAAGAAGTGTTTGGCCTGGGAGGTAACACATCTAGGGGCCTTCTGAAAACCCAGGATAGAGGGTTTCATTAAAAAATAACTTCATAGGAGATAACAAAGAAGATCGCACTGCTTTTCTTTAAATGAAGATAAGCTGTTTTTCTAAATCACATTACTTGCTGACACCATTAAAACATACAATATTAGAATCGGAAGGAATCACAGAGTCCAATTACCTGCTTTCACTCTAGCTTCAATGGGTAGAATTCAGGGAAAGCATGTAATATCAGGAATATGAAAAGTGACCATGAATATTTTCTTGTAAAATTACAGAACAAATATTAATGTATTAAAACCACAAATAATTTTCTTAGGTTTAGAAAAAAACTAAGTAAATAAAATTCGACTAAATCTTGTCTGCCTGTAAGACATAAATCTTTCAACTGCCTAGACTTCTAAATAGCAGTGGAGTGACTATAGCCGTATCACTTCCTTCAGTTTTGAGCCTTGGTTGTCTTGATCTTGAAATCGGATTCCTTTGCCAGGATTTAGCGACTCAGAATTCTAAGACTTCCTAATGTGAACCAAAAGAAGGTACCACATACTATGATTTAAATCAGTCAGTTTCTGAACATTTAAGTTTAAAAGAAATTATAATCTTTATCTCCTAAAGATGTTGAAAATTTTGTAAGGAGTAGAAGAGACTCAACAAGTATTGACTGGCATCCATAAGTGTCAGGCACTGAGAATATAGCAGTGATCAAAACAAACAAAACAAGGTCTTGCCCAAATGAAACTTATGTTCTACAGTGGAGGAAGACCAATAAAAAGCAATTGTTGTAGTTACCTTAAATGTACCAATAAAACTGATTAAAAAGAAAAATGTCAGATGGTGATCAGTGTGGAGGAAAAAGCATAGAAGAGGTGTTCCATCCAGATGGAAAGACCAGCAAGGACAAAA